TACCACAGCAACGATAAACAGAAGATATGAAAGAAATTATGGTCAAGAAAAACTACTATATATTATTAATTCTATATACACTAACAATAACTTGACTTTTTTTTTTTTTTGGTACCGGGGATTGAACTTGGGACCTTGCTCTTTTAGGCAGGTGTCGGAACCACTGAGCTAAATCCCCAGCCCTAACTTCACTCTTTAGGTTAATATGGAGGATCCAAGAATGAAAGCTTACATTTCTATTTAGGTAAGAATTCTTAATTAAATTTGAGATTGATTCTTTCCCCCATTCAGTCTTTTATTTATCCTTCACTGAAGTACAAACACAGGGGAAAAAAGTCAATGGTATGCTCTTTGAATGAGATAACAAGTTCTCAAAAGATGCACTTGTATCCCCAGTACCAAAAAAGAAAAAAATGCACATGACTTTTTCTAAGCTTCTGGATAAAATAAAAGGAAACTGCTAGAAAGAAAACAAAATCATCAATCACTGAAGATGAAGAAAGATGGAACAAAGAGGCAAGACAATCTGATCGGCACAGTCCGAAGCTACATGAATGACAGCAAATTCACAGAAGACACTTAAAAGAGGAGGATATTCAAAGAAACCTATAAAAATGACAAAAACAGGTGCAATAAAGTGGTGTGGTAACTCACCTAGGCACTGAAATTATAGCAGTTGGGAGGCCCACACTAAGAACACCACATTTAAAGAGCACATATATTTTATCTGAGAACGTTTTGTTACAACAAAAGTTCATGAAACTTATGGATTAAGTCCTGAATATCACTAAAAAAACTCTTCACACATTTGTTTCTATAATTAAATTAATGAAAGCAATGCTTGAATCCTTTCAATTTGTCTGAATTAAAAACATTTACATTTGCATAGTACTTTATACTTTTAAAGGATTATTCACATATACCCTGAAGTGATCCTCACAAAATCCAGGGAAGTAAAATGTCTGGGTTTTCTAGTTACGAATGAAGAACCAGAAAAAAAACCCAACAATGTGACTAATGGTTTGAGCAATGTTAAGCAGCCAGTCAGAGAAGGACTAGATTATAGACTCCTACTGTAGTATGCTACAAAGCCTAGGCATAATTTCTTCTCTAAAACATGCCTGTGACACTGGCATGAGACTACTTCAGATGTTTTGGTTTCAGAATCTAGGGCAAGATATTTCAAACAATGGCATGCCAGATTATTTATGCTAAAAAAACAAGAGTTCACCTAAAATAGTTCCTGTGTCTACTAGGAGAATTAGTTAAATCAGAGCCATTTGATGTGATAATAAAAGCGGACTAAGCATACTATCCTACCAGAAGGCAAGTGAAAAGTTCAATGAACAGTTATCACATGCTGCAAAAATCAAGTAAAAAGAAATGAAAACTGTAAGAAAACTCAATCTAGAAATAGTATGTAAGATCTGTATATATGCCAGAGAGAGAGAGTATTTCAGAAACATTTTGATGCAGAAGAAATGATAATAACCTGGAAAAATAAAAGATACATTAAGGTTATTAGTGAGAAAAAAATATTTATAATACTAACTGGTGCCAAGGCTGGGGATTTAGCTCAGTGGTTTCACCGCCTGCTGTGCAAGCGCAAGGACCCGAGTTCAATCCCCGGTACCAAAAAAACCCCAAACAAATATTAATTGGTGCCAGAGTTCAAACTAGGTCTAGCATCAAAGGCTCCAGAGGAAATGAGATGGAATTTCAGAAGCTACTTAAGTGAATAAAATGAAGAAATAAAATGAAATAGAAATGATGATCAAGAAAATGAAAAATAAGTGAATAACAACCTGAACACGGATGTTAAAAATTAGAAACCAGTACATCTTAATAAAAGAACAATTTGTCAGATTTATGTTTATTACTAAGATGTATATAATGATGATAACCTCCAAATGCAAAGACTCAAGAATAGAAATCAAAAGGTAGTTTTTCTGTTACAAGGAACAGAAGGAGTAAGCATAAACAGAAGGCCACTGAAAACTTAACCATATTCATGGGCATTAATAACGCATGAAAAATACACACAATGCCAGTAACTTTGGTTTTTTTCACCACATACAAACTCATCAAACTGCACTTGTAAAATTTTCTGTACCTATTAGTGTATGAGAAGCACCCCTGTTAATGTTTGAAGAATCAACTATCAAATGTGTTTAACATGTAAGAATATTCTTTAAATGCTTTGAACTATACAACTTCTCTTTGATCAGTCTACCCTTATGTATTTCACTGAGATATTCACTGTTTTTTTTTTTTTTAAAATGTTCTGGCCCTGGTACTGTATTAAAATTTAACCTGGAAAAGAGCTGTAAAATGGGAAAATAATCATGTGACTCAAGAGAAAATCAATAATCTGAAAAGAAAATCTAAGAAATCTTTATCATTTAAAGTAAAGAAAAGTTGGGCAAAATAACTATAATCTTCACTTTCCTTTTGTTAAACTACTGTATTCTTATTATTCTAAGAATGGCACCACACAAGAAAACAACCTATCCTGCAGCTATAACTGCTCATAAAGTGTCACTCCACTATTATTTTTCACTGTCCAGAACTCGCTAAGTAAGGCTACAACTGACAACTGCACACTGAAGATTTGATGTTTTCTGTCTCCCCTTTCTCAGTCTCTACCTTCTGGTGCTCAGCTCCTTAAATAAGGAAAATGAGAATCCAAAGCTGAAGTACTTCTGACCTCCTATCAAGTTTCCCACTCCAGGTTGAGGTACGCCTGGTTCCCTTTCTCCATTTGGATCAGGACTCTGTTGCTGGCCACTTTGCCGGTTCCACTCTGGTTCCTAGCAAATGCCAGGCTCACCTGGAGAGCAAGTGAAAAGAAAGGCTCACATCAGAAAAATAAACCCAGATATCAAACTCTGCAGAGAATAGTGCCTGAGTCAACTGAGCAACCTCCCAGGAAAGGCAGAGAGATCAATGAAAATGGGAAAAGGCATAGGAGGGTGAAGGCTTACTGCAGTTTATCACATTTAGCTTTTAGAAGGGATAGGAAAGGTAGGAAAAGAGGAAACTTAGCCAACTTATTTGAAACTTACAACTTTTAGTGGAGTATCTATTTCTAGACATTTTTATAAGCTTCTATTAACGTTTGGTAATGCAACATCTTAGCACTGCAAAAGACAGTACAAAGATGCAGGGCCTAGACTAAGAACCACATAGTGACCCCACAATAACATACCACAAAGTGGCCCAATCTCACACCAAAGGCTCAAGTATGGCTGAGACTTACATGTCACTGAGCTCAAGAAATGCTCTTAAATAAAATCCTACATTCCATCTATGTTCCCCTTCAGTTTGAGGACAAGTGAGTACTTGGGTAGCAGTACCCCAAACAGTCATTTTTAGCTCCCTTGTTTGAGGCACCTCACTGATCTGAGAAACCAGAATCAGAATGATGAAACCCTTTACCAGGATTCAGTTCCTTAGCTATGAAACAAAGAAATTAAGTTTGTCTGTGGGACTTATTTCTGAGTTAAGCCATCAAATTTCCTCTTGGCATCATAGTGTTGGCTCTCTTTCTGGAAGAGAAATGGCAAGAGCCCCACTCCAAAGATGTATTATTTGTATCCCTTGTAAGCAGGCAAGAGTATCAGAGTAGCTTACATCCTATTCTTCTCCAAGAGGACAGGAAGGAGCACCCTCCAAGCTTTTCAGAGCACATTTAATTATTGAAAACAAGGCAAAGCATGAACTTCCCTGGCTCTAAGGGTCTGTGAATTTTCTTGTTCCCCACTGCTTTCAGAGTGGCCAAGGTTACCCACTATTCACACTGGAGAGAGAATACCATGCTACACTTAAATGTGCCCAGAAGGAAAGTTGGAGATGACAACTGTAATAAATAGGTAGGTTGTTTCTCAGCCTTAGAAATAGCTATGGTGAAAATCATGGGGTGGTCAATTCCAGAAGCATCATTTTAAAATCATTCAGCCTAATTATTTTTTTTTCAGCCTAATTATTAATGTGTACAAGGGTGGAATCTACACCCTCTGTACAGACAGTAGAGTTTACATGGGGTTAACACAGGAAAGGGCACTGTCTGAGAACATACTATACTAATCGTGTACATCAGTACATGGAGATGGGGAAAGATCATCTCACTTTTTTCATTTTAGGTCTGAAAATTTATACCTTCCTTTTTTATGCATAAGAACTGGACCTCTGCAACCACCTATAAGAAATGCTACACTCAGGAGTAAAATCAGTATTCTCAACTACACTCATTCCCAGAGATAAGACAAAAACATTTATTCCACCATGAATAAAATGATAATTTTCCCTACCTCCCGCTTCCTACAAAGCATTTCAAATGATAAACTGCAGTAAGTTCCTCATTTGCTCCCTCTGGTTCTCCTGGCAGGCTGTTTAGCTCAGGCTCTGTTCTCTGCAGTGTTGGTTATCTGGATTTCCTTCTTTCTGAGCAAAGTCTCTCTTCCCTTGCTCTCAGGGTCAATGTGTTTATTTTCAGGTTTCTGGTGATTCTGGCCTTAGATGGGGCCAGAATTACAATCCAGGAGGCAGCTAGCAAAACAGAGTCTTAATTCAAATAAACATGGGGACTAGTTAGTTATCAAACTGGAGAAGGAAAACTGATGGGACACGGAAGTACTCTACCTTTTCTGGATTTCTTGCTTTTCCTCTGGAAGGAACTCATCACCGCAATAAAGATATAAAAGGAACAAAGATACAGCAGGACAAAAGAGAAAATATCAAGACAAAGCATTAAGACTTATGAATAACCTAACCTACAATAGTCTTGCCAGTAAAGAGCCAGGGGACAGGGATTATTTATTAAAATGCCCTGGTCCCTACATGGCACCAGCAAAAGCACAAAAATGGGAGAGGAATCTTTATGATTAACTTGTTACTGGCAAAAAATTACTTGGAAAAATAATCCCATTTTGTGTTCTACTTGGTACCTAGCCAAATTTTATAGCTGCATTCCCCAAGTATCTGACCCACTCAAATTAGACACTACAGAAAGAACTTACAATAAGATCACAAGTATTTGTTGATAATATAGATACTGTACTGATTCAGCTGGCTACTTCAAGGAAGCCTAGCTACTGAACATTTACCACCTTGCAAAAACTCCAACTTTATTGGGGTTAAAAAAAAAAAAAAAGTGTACAAGAATGATAGTTTTCAACTGGTTCCTTTTACTATGAGAATTATCCAATTCAGAGGTTGGAGAATTTCCTCTTGGATTCCTGCTGTATTATAGTATTTAAAGATTAAATGGACATAACCAGAGATACACAGATTCTCAACAAAGCTACCTCTCCTTGTCAGTTCTTCTAGAGTAGGAAGATTAATTAGGACCAGATTTATAGATTACGGAGTTTCTGATCCAGCCATGGTATACACCATCCTGAGAAAGCCAACAAGTATCTACAAATTCTCCGAAGCCAAATTTTACATAGTTCACCCATAAGTTCTTATTTATAATGGCTCTTATATGCAAGCATTTCCCTATTACTAAGTATTATCCACAATAACAAAACATCTTAAAAGATTAAAAATACAAATTCGAGTATAATCATGACTTTACATATCACCAAATCTATAAAAGAGTTTGCAAAGTACTTATGAGGAACATCATTATGAACAAACTTAATCCTTCATATAGAAAATTCATATACTAAAGTTTTTTTTTTTTAAATTAATACATATTTGGGCCAGGGATGTGGCTCAGTGGTGCCACGCCTGCCTGGCAAGTGCAAGGTCCTGAGGGTGATCACTGATACCACACACAAAAAAATTAATTAATACATATTTGCACTAATACATACATAATGAATACATTCACCTTGGGGAGTTGATACCTACACATATCACATCTTAGTCTTTTGTACTTTCCCTCCCCCACCACTCCCTCCAAAGTAAGTTTTCACAGAAAACTAAGTTATGAGGCAAGAAATGAAAATGTTCCGCACCTGCAGTGTACAATTCTCTTTTCGTTTGAGGAATTCCACAAACCTGGCCACAACTCCTGGTGTGCTGATAACTTCATCAATAGGAGGGTTAGGTTCTGTTTCCAAATAAACAGGAAAGAAAAAAATAACAATCCTTTGATTTCAATACAAGCACTTTATAGCTTAAAATTACTTCATAATACCACTCCATTTACCAGCTCTTTCACTTTAAAAAATCTACTAAAATAAAAAGTAAAACTGGGTCTAGTCATTTTGAGACTAGGATAGTTCAACAGGTTTCACACAAAGAACATATGACTTAATATGAAAATGAAGAATAGGCAGAATTGTTCCTTTGTTCTGTTTTTGTAGTGGAACTTACTTTTTTGTAGGGACACAATTTTTTTCAGCCTTGGAGATGAATCCAGGACTTGCACGTGCTAGACAAATGCTTTAACTGAGTTATACTCCTAGTTCCTATGAATTCTTAAAAAATTAAAATTCCTGTGGCTACTACTTAAGGAAACTTAAAAAGCAAGGCAAAAGACATCCAAAGAAAGTTAATTACTGTTATTTTGTTATACTTTCTTCTCCTTCTTCTACACATGATCTTTCAGTTTGTTTTTGTTTATTGTATATTGTCTTTAAAAAACTGCAGCACAGAATTCTCTGTGGTTACCGGACCTTGATTTAACACCTGTAATGCTAAGTAGAGGCAGCAAGAAATTAAGACTGACTTACCAAATTAACCTCATTTTCTTTTAGGACAACACAGTATCTTATAAAAGAAGTCATTAAAAAAAAAAACTATCACATGAATAGATAGGAAATATCAGCTAACCAGACTATTAATGTTAGCAAGAGAACTGACAGTTTTTGGTAACATGCGTGTGACAATACGAGAAAAATGCAGGTAGATCAGAATACCATATAGATTCTTAGCAAAGTCAATGGCCTTATTGAAAAAAGGCACTAATAGCTACATATTGACTTGTGACAGAGAGGGCTCTAATGACTTATCCTTGTTCAACATTTTTCTCTCTCCTTCAAATAAATGGTACAAAGAAATTAGATAACAACAAATATAAATTAGTATAATATACTGAATTACAGAAATGAAAAAGTAAAAACTGGCAACAAAACAAAATAAAACAAAATTCACAAATGATTTTTCTGATTTTTAGGGGATGACAGCTCAGTATGTTGGAGAGTCTGGCCTTTAATACTTGGCTCAAGTGATCCTGTTGCCTCAGCCTCCCAAGAGTACCTGGGATTACAGGTGTAAGCTATAGTACCTGGCTTCACAACTGATTCTAAAAGGCAATTTTTAAAACTCCATATCACTTACCAATAATCTAACTATACTTCATGAAGAAAAATGCTAGGAATTTAGTGTGCTGAAAATTCAATGAAACATTACTATGTCATGACACCAAAACAACTAATTAAAGAGTAATTATTAGAATGGACAGTCTTAGGACAAAAAAGGCAAACTCTCATCATGCCCATCAGTAATAACAAATCTGGAGTATCTTATTCTAGTTTGCACATTTTCAAGTGGGATGTCAGTAAACTAAAATACAAGCACGAAAGTAGTAAAGTGGTAAAAAGACATATTATGTGAGAAAACCACTATTCTCAACATGTTGAAAGAAGACTTTTTCAGAAGAGTAGCAAGATACACCTTTCCTTCATATACAGTGGACCCTCAAGTTACAACCAGCCTGACATACAAACGAGTTAATTAGGTTAATGGGAGATTCATCTGCCTCTTGTTCTATAGCGTGTACCCAGGTAAACGTCCAGACCTCAGCTCTATTAACTTACAACCAACTTGAGTTACAACCAGCCCTCAGGAACCAATAGATTTCGTAAATCAAGGGTCTACTGTATTTAGTAAGTTGCCACATAAAAGACACATTTGGTGTGTCATGATGGTAAGTTTTTATTATGTTAAGTTTTTAAAATCACTAATGATTCCAAACAACCATAACTTACCACGTAGTGTAGGGGTAGGATGAAATATTTACTATTAACATTTTAATAAGGTTCAAATTATCTTTACTTGCTCAGGGTGACAGTATCATACTCCATTCTAAGCATACCAAAAGGGTAGTGAGCTATCCTATCCAGTAACAAATCCATACTTAAGTTGCAGTGGTAAATTGCTAACATTAAAATAAACAATTACTGCTTTCTCAAGAAACATTATAAAGAAGTTTTTCTATAAGAAGAGTGGAGTTTCTTAATGACTTAAAATCTTGATTATGATTCACTAAGGTCTTTTGTAAAATGGCTGAAAAACTGGGCCGGGGATTTAGCTCAATGGTGCTCCCGACTGACTTGCAGCAAGCAAGTTCGAGCCCCAGTACCAAAAAAAAAAGATGACTGAAAAATTAAAGGTAAGATCTCATCAACAGCCAGGCATGGTGGCACATGCCTATAATCCCAGCACTTGGGAGGCTGAGACAGGAGGACTGCCGTGAGTTGGAAATCACCCTGGTCTACATAGTAAGACTCTGCCTCAAAAAACAAACAAAACAAAAATCTCATAAACACGGCCAGGGATTTACCTCAGTGGTGCTGCACCTGCTTCACAAGTGCAAGGTCCTGAGTTCGATCCTCAGTACCAAAAAAAAAAAAAATCTCATAAACAAGTGAAAAGCCATTATTCAAAATTATGCATGTGTACATGTATCAATTTTTTAACTGACTAAAATGGACTTCAAGCCAGGCGTGTTAGTGCACCCCTGTAATGCCAGCACTCAGGAGGCTGAGGCAGGATTCCCATGAGTTCAAGGCCAGCCTGAACTACACTTTGAGATCTTGTCTCAAAAACAAAAAACAACAACAACAACAAAAACAACTTTAATTCTAAAAATACACTTCAAATCAAATCATCTGAGACATGAAAACAGATTATGGGAAGGAATATTTTATAGAGATGAAAAGATACACTCATATTTAGAGCTCACCTTTTGAAAGCAGTTTTCTGAATTTCTGTGTTGCAGAAAGTTGTTGCTCTGGGCTATTAGAAAATATCATCTCAATCATGTCAGAAGTAATAACACCACCCTGGGGTAACAAACACAAAGTAAATGTAGTGAGACATTAAACTTAACTGAGAGAAAAACAAAGATAATAGAAGTTACTGCCAGCTACCAATTTAGCCATATTTCTCCAGAAATTTCACACAGGTAGAACAATATTCACACCCAAAAATGTATAAAATGATTAGTGATGTAATGAAGCCAAATTCTTTGTTTATTATTTAAAAAAGGTCTTACTAATGAGAAAGTAATCTCATTAGTAAATGCTAAGACAAGAAGCTTATTATCCCTCCTCTTCTTGCTTATGATTTGGCTGGCTGTTGTTATTATAGAAATTAAATGTTAAGATCTAAACAATGGTTTTTCATGACCTCTAAACCTCAAGCAGCTGCTCTAGCTCTACCACGTCACCCTATCTAAATCCTATGCCCAGCCAACTGTGATCACTTCTAGATATTTTTCCTGATGATTTGTTAATGTCTGGGTTCCCCCATTTACTGTAATCTTCTTGAAAGCCAAGACCCCCTTTTCTTTGTATTTTTTCAAATTAATTTTTAACTGACACATAAAAACATTAACAACTACATATTAATGAGATGCCATGTGATGTTTCAATACATGTACACACTGTGTACTGTTTAAAGCAAGACCCTATCCACCTGACCACTCTATCACTAATGCTGGCATACAATCATACAAATGTTTGGCTCAACCAACACGGAAGAAGTACACAGTGGTATTGAATAAATCATAAATTCTAGCCACTGCCAAATTCAACAGCAAACTCTTAAAATTCTTATTTTTCTTGCTTTGTTAAAACTATTTTCTCACTTTATTATAACCTGGTGCGGGGTTGGGGGGTGTCTGGTACTAGAGATTGAACCAGGGCCTTTGTACTCAGCTACAAAAGGGTCTTGCTAAGTTACCCAAGCTGGGCTAGAATTGTGACCTTCCTGCCCCAGCTTCCCAGTGTGCTGGGATTATAGGCATGTACCTCCCACCAGTATTTTAGTAATTTAACAGACATTTTCAGTTTCCCACTATTTTCTTGTTTTATTATTCTTCCATTTCATACTAAAACCCATGTCCATTATCTTCTCAGGATCATTAGTCACAATGAAACAAAAGTTCTTAACATTAATTCGCAAGATGAATTGTAAAACTGTCCTGCTGAGTGTAAATGGTGAGTGTAAATCCTGGGTGATTGGTAAGCAATATCTAACACTTAGGAACACCTATAGGGGAATATATGAAGCATATGCTCAAGAGTGAGAGAAGTAATTCCTGTCAAAGTTCCAAGACCGACTCCTAAATAAACAAAGGCACCTAAAGACTTATGAATATCTTTAAACGCACACCCACACACCCAGCTATATACATCTCTGTGTGTTAAAACATTTATATTTACATAAGCAATTATCTTTTTTTTCCTTCTCATATTGTCTTCTCACATAAGCTGTACTGATTTTACATCCTGGTATTTAAATTACAGGGCATCAAGAAAAGGAGTGAACATTACCCAAGAATTTTGCATCCTCTTCTTCTGGAAAGGGTTGATACATATTCAGCTACATGCAAGAAAGTGCTATCATCTTAGAGGGAAGAATAATTTTGTTGTTTCTTTGAGACTTGGCATGGTGTTAGATGTGAATGAATGCTAAATTGATAATAGACTTTAATTTTATGTGTTAACTTGATTAGGTTATGGTAACTAGTTACCTGGTCAAAACACTCACTAGTTTAGATGTTACTCTGAAAACATGTTTAGTTAGCAAGACCCTGCCTCATCTCAAAATAAAAAATTAAAAAGGGGTGGAGGGATTAAGGACGCAGCTCACTGTGAATTCCCTGGTTCAATCCCCAGTATGGGGGAGGGGGGGAGAAAAACAAAATGTTGTAGATGTGATTAAAATTTAACTCAGTTCATGTGAGTTAAACAGATTGCTCCTCATGATGTGGTTTACATCACCCAATCCGGTGAAGGCTGTAAGAGCAAGGACTGAGGTTTCTCGAAGAAAGAATTCAGCCTTCAGACAACATCAATTTTTGCCTAATATTCCAGACTGCTGATATGTCAAACAGATTTCAAATTTGTGAGCTAGCAACCATGTGAGCCACTTAACTCTCTCTCTCACTGGTTCTGTTTCTCTGAAGAACCATAGTACAGTTCATAAAACAATATATTCACTTAATACCCAATATACAATACATAACAATATATCGACTTAATTTTTAAATTGGAAAGACTAAATTTCTGAAGGCCCTAGAAAATGGCAGTGTTGGCAACAATGTCTAAATCAACTCCAAAAGGAATATACTCCCTTCTCAATTCCAAAAGAAAATAAGTACATGTAACCAGAGATCTATGAAATGAAATAAAAAAACCCAAAACTATAAAATACTGTGCATAATATGCCACCATTTGCACTAAAAAAAAAAGATGGATAGGGAGCATTTCCTTCACATACAAGCTCTATAAAAGAGAAAATAAGAACTGAGTAATCATGGTTGCCACTGAGGAAAAATACTGGATGACTATGTTAGATGATACTTTTCTCTAAAAAACAAAAGTGGGGCCGGGGATTTAGCTCAGTGGTTCTGCTGCCTGCCTCGCAAGCATAAGGACCAGAGTTCGATCCCCGGAACCAAATAAATAAAATAAAAAATAAAAAACAAGTGTATATATGATCTATTTAAAAATTATACAATTATAATACACAGAAATACATAGGTCTCATCCACACAAAGCATAATTTTTGTAACTATGTAAATCAAAAAAGTTACATGATGCTTTAGAACAGAATATTCCAATAGTTCTGGGGTTTTTTTGGGGGTTTTTTTGGTCTTTTTTTTGGTGCCAGGGATCGAACTCGGGTCCTTGCGCTTGCACAGCAGGCGGCGAAACCACTGAGCTAAATCCCCGGCCCCCAATAGTTCTGATATAGAATCAACTTCTAGGCCAGGGATTTAGCTCAGTGGAGCCGTGCCTGCCTTGCAAGTGTAAGGTCCTGAGTTCGATCCCCCATACCAAAAAATAAAGTTAGAATCAACTTTTAAAATCATATACTTGTTGAATTTGTAATTGTCAGGGTTTTTTTGTTTTTGCTTTTTTTTGGTACCAGGGATCGAACTCAGGTCCTTGCACTTGCGCAGCAGGCGGCGAAACCACTGAGCTAAATCCCCGGCCCTGTAATTGTCAGTTTTAAGGAATAATTTTATTCTTAAATATAATTTTGAGGGGGTAATTTTAATTTTTAAATTGATATGCAATAATTGTAAAAAATTTGTGGTACAAAAGGGGTGTTTTGACATAAATTCTTTATAAGTTTTATAGTTGAACTAATTTTTGTAATTTAATTTTGTTTAAATGTACATTATCCAAAATACAATGAAACAGTTATTAAGAGATAAATATTAAATAGTAAATATATAGCTTCTTTTTAAAAATGAAATGCCAGGACAGGGATTTACTTAGTGGTGCTGCCGCCTGCCTCACAACTCCAAGGGCCTGAGTTCGATCCCTGGTACCAAAAAAAAAAAAAAATGCCAAGTACTTTTTGTAGTTATCTAACCTACCCACTGATTAAAGTCAGGAAGAGATCACATTATCTTCAAAACAAGCCCTTTTGTTTTTCTGGTACCAGGGATTGAACTCCGGACCTTGTGCTTACAAGCCAGGCGCCGGAACCACTGAGCTAAATCCCTGGCCCAAAACAAGCCCTTTTTATTATTTTACTTACTGGTGCCATCTCCATGTTGTTGATCTGGGCCTCATGAAAGCCACCATCTGACATAACTTCTTCTTCTGTTTCTTCTTCTGCTGTAGCAACATTTCTTCGCTTGAATAACTGAAAAATAAGGCTATCAGTAATGCAATTCTAACACAAGGGAGTTCAGCATACAAATACTAGATATTTCATTTAAAAATCAAAAGGAGTGGAGCTCTCTGAAAGTCATCTTTAGAATTCTACAGTTTGTGGTACCTTAAGTCTTACCTGAGGAGGAATAATTTCAGATGTACTGACAATCTAATAGAATTTATTATCACTACTGTATATGCATAATCAATACCTGATGAGATAAAACCTACCTTAGAAGCCTTGTGAGTGCACGATACATTAAAAAAAAAAAAAAAAAAAAAAAGGTTGGAAAAAGGACCACGTGTAGCCATTTCTCACATCTCTCTATACGAAGCAGGCAACAGGATGGTCTTAACCAGGCATCAAGCTCACTCTGCAGAGCTAGTTTCTCTCTCTCTCTCTTCACTTTTTCAAATAAACTTTGCAAAAAAGTGGATTGAGGCGTCTAGCCTTCCCAATCTCTCCAAGAATCAGTGACAACAAATGAGGACTCTTTGAACACTACTTTATTTTAAAGCGTCCACTAATTTGCACAGAGGAAGAACAGTTCTCTCCAAAGTCAGCGCAGTAAGATGCTTCCTGTTTTATCCTTGAGAATCCCATCAGCACATTTACTCATCAAGCCATGAAGGAGAGACAGTAACCTATCTTCCCATCCTAAACAACTAAAAAGCAGAAAAAAATACATAAAATAACATGGTTTAGTGTTGAGAGCTATTCTACATAAATTCTGCGGAAAAATCATTTCATAATAAAGTAGGACTATAGCTATCTAAGGCTCAATGTTGGGTTGTCCATGAGCCGGCTTTGGTGGTAGGAAACAACTCCAGTTTGCCTCTAGTCACAGCAGAGGCCTCAAAGGTCCGTGAGGCTGTGGTGCTCAAGGGCAAGATTACATCAGCTGAAGACATCCTGGTTCTTTGAGAACCAAGTAGTAATACAAAAAGAGAAAAGTTTCATCTGGGGAAGGACAAATTCCTTATCAGCTTAATTCATCCCACCTACTGTTGTGAGAATGCTCTCCTTTTCCCCCTGATCAGCATGAGATTCTGTGGAAGCAGGATCACCACCACCCTCTAAGTCACCCATATGCCCTCCAGTTATTGTGTGTGCCTAATAAATAATGACTAATATGGAGAGTCTTGGTCTTTGCCCACTCTGAGGCACCGACCTCCCGGCCTCCCATATACTTTGAAATTACACAAGTCTCTACTGTCTTTTTTTCTTTAGCCCTTGCCATTTCCGAGGTTTGATCAGCCTCAGACAGTTCAGACATTCAACAATCGATAGCTAGTGAAAGTGATTTCTCAGAAGGAATACACAAGATCAGATCCATGACTGCCTTGGATTACTGCCTGGACAGTTTCCAGGCTGAAATGCAGGGAGGGCAAATGCAAACAGAGCTTACATACTCCTTGAATTAAGAGTTTAGAACTGAGGAGGAGGGCAGGGCATACAGAATTCACAAGGCAGAATAAAAGGAAGGAAATTAACATACAGAGAATTTCAAAGATCTATAGAAGGTTCCCTTTGAGTCTAATTTCGTACTGATCAGTGCATAATTATCTTCTTCCAGAAGACAGAAGCAGAGGGAATACTTCCTAACTCATTCTTTGGGGGCAGTATTAACTATCATTAGTGCTACAATAAAGAAGGGAGTGTAGGTATCTCTGATATACTGGGTTCATTTCCTTTAACTATATACCCAGTAATGGGACAGTTGGAGCACATGGTAGTTCTTTTGTAGTTTCTTGAACCTCCATACTGTTTTCCATAATGATTTTACTAAACATTCCCAACAGTCCCACCAACAGTGTACAAAGTATACAAGACTTCCCCTTCTCTATCCTTGCAAGCTTTTTAATTTTTTGTCTTTTTATTACAGCCATTCTAAGAGGGTGAGATAATATTTCATTATGGGTTTTGATTTGCATTTTCTGTTGATTAGTGATGTTGAGCTTTTTTCACATACTTCTTAGCCATTTTATATCTTCTTCTGAGAAATGTCTATTCAGATCATTTATCCATTTTTAAATCAGATTGTACGTTTTGCTGTTGACTTTTTGGTTCCTTATATATCCTGGATATCAATTCCTGGACAGACAGTTGTGCCTCTTCACTCTGCTGCTTATTTCCTTTGCTGTGCAGAACCTTCTTAGTTTGATATAATTCAATTTTCTATTTTTGTTTCTGTCACCTGTAATTTCAGGGTCTTATCCAAAAAAGGACTGCTTTTACCAATGTGATATATATATATGTTCCAGGTTCCAGTCCACAGTTTCTGGCTTATTAGGCCACAGAACCAAAATTTCTCTTTCTCAAGGACAGTCACAGAAACTACAAGCCTTTCCCCTTTTTGTCCTAAGAGTTGGCCATAAAGAAATTTTCTGGCTTAGCCCTAATAGGTCATTAAGACTCCTCATTCTAGTGGGGTCCTGCCATATAACCTGAATGGAGAAACAATGCTGAGGCAAGAATGCTACAACAGACAGCCCTTGCTGCGTTTCCCCAATCAGTTTATTAGCATGAGATATCGAATGAAGTCTCCATTAACACCCAACAGGATAGGAGTCACAAAGCCTCCAGAGTGGAATACATGGAGGTTCTTTGAGGATGGCCTGCCTGAAAAGAGCATGGAAGTCCTGTGCCCCTTCTCCTATACCTTGTCCCATGCACTTCTTCATCTAAATCCCTTATAACTTTTTATAATAAACCAGTAAACATTTCCCTGAGTTCCGTGAACTGCTCCAGCAAATAAATCAAACCCAAGAAATGGGTTGTGGGAACGCTGATTAATAGCTGGCCATCAAATGGAGATAAAACAACTTGGAGCTTACAACTGGCATCTAACGTGGGGAGGGGGAAGGACATGACGTGGAAACTGAGATCACCCTGTATCTACTTGTATCCAGTTAGTGTTACAATTTAATCACTATTAGAGGATATTCAGCTGGTGTATGTTGTCTGTAGAACTGATATCTTGCTTGCAAGTAGAGAGAAATCCCTACACCTTTTGAGATCACAAAAGTCTTCTATATTGCATGGAATGAGAATAAAGACAGGCAATCTATTTTTCCAAAGTATTCCCTGGTTTCTTCCAATAGGTACATAGTTTCAAATCTTGTATCTCTGATGCATTTTGAATTGATTTTATACATGGAGATGGGGACTGGTTTTATTCTTCTATATATAGATATATAGTTTTCCTAGCGCTACTTTGAAGTGACTGTCCTTTCTCCAATGTATGTTTTTGGTGCTTTTTACTCTATGTATTTTTTTTTTCTTATACCAGGAATCAATCTCAGGACCTTCCACTTGCAAGGCAGGCACGGTGCCACTAAGCTAAATCCTCTATAAATATTCTTGAGATCTGGTATGCAGCTATGCTGAAACAGTTTGATACTTTCGGACCTTTCTTGTGATTTGTTAGGCAGATCTAGAGCAGTGCCAAGTCCAAAGCTAATTAATTTCTACTACGAAAGCCAAGACTTTCCTGAATCCTCCAAAAAGTATGAGTTTTCCTAGTCTGGTTAACGCTAAGACAATCACGACTTGTATATTACAGTTTGTCAGACTATAGGGTGCCTAGACTTGTTAGCCAAGTAAACTGAGGGGAAAAAAATTGACGGAAACATTGGATGTCCACAAGTTTATCAACTTGGTTATTCCAGAAAATATTTTTTGTAACTAAAAATATCAAACCTCCACTCTTAATCACTACAGTTTTTATGAACTTTTTTAGCAAAACCATGTTATATATTATCTTCTCACGCTGGTGCAGCAAGAATCTATGTAATTTAAAGTATTTCAACAGTGAATACAAAGTATTCCTCTTTCTTACATGAAAAACTTTAAGTACTAGCACAGTCAGAATAGTAGCAACTAGTAATCTATTTTCCAAAAAATAAATTTTTAGTTTGGTCTGTCACTATTATCTTGCCAGAGGTGATATATGCACCCAGATAAAAAAATTCTAGTCTACTAAAAGATGTAGATTATCTTTGTGTACTTGACAGCACCATCTGCCATAGCATCCTCAAATCTAGATGCTCAGTTGGCAGAAGCTAGAGACTTTTCCAGATAGATGACACAGCAACTGTGCAAAGATAAATAATTTTGTATTTCCGGATGGTTACTATTTTACAAGTTAGACATGATGTAAGCACTGCTGCGGTATTAGGAAGCCTGGTTGGGGGGTGGGGGATTGGGCAGATAACATTGGGAATTAAACCCATGGCCTTTAAACTCAGCTATATCCCCACCCTTTTAAAATTTTATTTTGAGACAGGGTTTTACTAAGTTATTAAATTGTCCAGGATGGCCGTAAACCTGAGATCCTCCTGCTTCAGCCTCCCAGAGTGCTACAGGATTACAGGCATGAGCCAACACACCCAGCAGATTTTAGTTTCACCAGTTCTCCCAATACAACTTGGCACATATGAAATGACAAAATTAAGTTATTTATTAAAGCCCTAGAGCAACTTCAGATCTCATACAATGAATATGGTAAACTTCCAACTAACTATAATTTTTATTTTGTTTTTGGTACCGGGGATCGAACTCCAGACCTTATGCTTGCAAGGCAGGTGTGGCACTACTGAGACCCTGGCTATTTTGGTTTTTCGAGACATAGTCTCACTATGTAGCTCAGGCTAGCCTCAAACTCATGGCAATCCTCCTGACTCAGCCTCTCAAGTGCTGGGGTTATATTATTTATAGGCATGCACCACCATGCCCAGCTCTTTCCTAAGCATTTTTAAAAGAAAGTAAAGTGAGGCTAAGTCCTAAGTTCTTTTATAGATGCTCTCAGCTTAAAAATAATTTTTTAAAAAAATCAGTGTACTAAATGCCCTTATGAATAATACAGAATCATAAGATACATTCCTTGAAATTTATTTTAAAATATTAGCTAGTAAAAAAATGTAAAGACAAATAGGAAATAAGGATGGCAAACAGATAACAATTACTGAACCCAAAAAACAGATTCATAATATTCTTTATCCTTTATTTTATATACAATTTTTCAAACTGAAATTTATAATGAGACACAAAGTTTTTATGGTCATTTCAGAATTCACTAACAAAAAATGCTCATAGGGGATTTAGCTCAGTGGTGCCGCTGCCTGCCTCACAAGCACAAGGTCCCGAGTTCGATCCCCAGTACCAAAAAAAAAAGCACAAAAATCTTAAGGAAGCAAACAGACCAAAAACTTAAACAGGGTTTTTGTGACAAAATAGAAACCTGAGAGATTTTCTCATTCTTGCATTCCATTTTTCAGTACCTCCTCTTCCCTGTCCAAAAATAGTGTTGGTTTGATAGTGTAGAGAGGAACACAGATATATCATTGTTGAAATATAAATAAAAGAGAACAGTTGCCAGTTTAAGATGGAACATTTCTTTTTTTAAAGAAATGAACAAAGATAGAGGACCTACCTGCTCCTCTCTTTTCTGCTTTCGTAGCTGTAATCCTTCTTCCTCCCTCCTTCTACGCATCTCATCTGGATTTAGAGATTTGTTCTTGTAACTTTTCAGGCGAAAGTTCTCTTTTCCTGGGGTGGTCATGATTTCTACAAAAGTGTAAAGAGAACAGATGAGAAAGCTTATAGTAAAAAAGTTCTCTTATTCCACAAGTTCAGCCTTAAGCTTACACATGCCCAGATACTAGAAATGATTTTTAACAGCTTTGTTAAAATACACAATTTATCTATTGTATTCATAGCTGTGTACAACCATAACCATAATGTATTTTAAGAGTATTTCCCAAACCTCAAAATAATCCTGGGGCTGGGAATGTAGCTCAGTGGTAGAGTACTTGCCTAGCATGCAAAGCATTCAACCCCCAGTATCATAAATTTATAAAGTACAAAAAACCAAAAAACCCAGAAAAAGAAATCCTGCATCATTTAGCTATCATTCGTATTTCATTTTGGATATTTCATATGAACAGAATCATACACTACACAATCTTTCATGACTTCTTTCACTTAGCATGTTTACAAAGTACACTTACATTGTAAAATATATCAGTACTTCATTCCTTTCTATGGCTGAATAATATTCCATTTTACATAGATACACTGTTATATTTATCCCTTCATCAGTGCATGGATATTTGAGCTATTACTTACTATCTTTTTTTTTTGGTATCGGGGATCGAACTCAGGTCCTTGTGCTTGAGCAGCAGGCGGCAAAATATTACTTTTTGTTATTATGAACAATGGTTCTGTAAACATTTGTGGTTGGGCATGGTGGTGCACACCTGTAATCTCAGCACTAAGGAGGCTGAGGGAGGAGTATTCCCATAAGTTTAAGGCCAACCTGGTCTACTTAATGAGTTCAAGGCCAGCCTGAACTATATAGTGAGACCCAGTCTCAAAAAGCCAAACCAAAACAACCAACTAAACACTTGCGTACAAGTTCTTACAGACATGTTATTTCTCTTGTATATATGCCTAGAAGTGGAACCACTAAGTTATACACTAATCTCTTGAAAGAACTACTGAACTGTTTTGCCAAAGCGGCTTTACCATTTTATATGTCATTTGGCAGCATGTAAGAGGTTGCAATTTCTGTACATCCTCACCAACACTTTGCTATTATGTCCTTTTTATTTAGACTATCCTAGTGGGTATGAACCAATGGTCTGATTTGCAATCCTGATGACCAATAAAATTCAGTACCTTTTCACATAATTATTTGCTAACTATATATGTCCCATTAAAATAGTCTATCCAGATCCTCTGACTATGGGTTATCTTCTTGCTGAGTTGTAAGAATTCTTTTTTTTTTTTTCATACTGGGGATTGAACTCAGGACCTTGCAGTTTCTTGGCAGGCACGGTGCCACTGAGCTAAATCCCCGGCCCTCTAAGAATTCTTTATACAATGTACATGTACCAACTGCCCACAATGAATGTAATCATTACGTACTGTGAATATGTACTAAGTTTTTTAAAGTTTTTTATATATTCTAGATAAAACTATCAGCTATGATCTACAGATATGTTCTAAATATGTTCTCCCATTCTATAGGTTATCTTTCTACTTTCTTGATGGTATGTTAAAGTATAAAAACTTCATTTTGTTTAAGTCCACATTAATCTTTTTTCTTTTTCTGTTCACGCTTTTGTTTTTCTTTTGTTGAGACTTGTAGTTCAGCCTGGCCTTGAACTCACTAAGTAACTGAGGCTGGCCTCAAACTTGTGGCAATCCTCCTGGCTCAGCCTCCTATGTGCTGTGATTACAAGAATGCACCACCACACCCAGAAAATTTCTCTCATGAGCCACCTAGTCTCTGGTGTTGTTATAGCTGCCTGAATGGACTATGAAAACTCTTGTTGACAAACAGCTCAACAACAAAGCATACTATACATATATATACATATATATACGCATATATATGTATATGTATATATATGGTTTATTGACTGTCAAATTTTATTCCTAACAAGCTTTTACCATACAGTATAATATTACCTTGGAGTTTTTCATAGATTTTCTTCATCATGTTAAGCATTTCCCTCCCATTCCTAGAATTATGATCTAGATCTAAAATATTCCCCCTGAAAGTCTTGTGCATTCAGACAGGAATTTTAAAAGGTGATTGGATTGGGGTTGACTATACTCATCAGTGGTTTAATCCACTGATAAAGTCATGTGCTGCTAGCAGATGGGGCTATGTTAGAGGGGTGGATATTGGAGACATGGCCTTGCCCCCAGCTCCTACTTTTTCTGTTTTCTCTCATCAATCCTTCTGTCATGCTTCTTCTACCTTGGAACCATGGACTAAATCTTCTGAAAACCACGAGTTAAAATAAACTTCTTTTAAGTTTTGAGTGTTGGATATTTTGTCCCAGCAATGGAAAAGCTAATACACCTAGTTGTTTAGTGATTTTTATCATTAAAAAGTACTGGACGTGGTCAAGTGCTTTTTCTGTATCTACTGAAATGACAATGTAGCTTTTTCTTTTATTTTACCTCAATTGGTTTTTGGATTTTAAACCAAGTTTGCATTTCTGGGATAAATCCCACTTGGTCATGATGTATGAATATTTCTATATGGTGCTGAACTCAGTTTGCTAGTATCTGCTAAGGAGTTTTATATTCATATTGACTACACAGTGGCGGCAAACCTATGCACATGTGCCACAGTGGGCTGTTTGTGATCACTGAAAGCTCTAAAAGGTTTGCCATCACTGGACTATATTGTACTGTCTGTAGTATTCTTGTGATATCTTTGTCTGAATTTGCTATCAGAGTAAACTGGGCTCCATAAAATGAATGGAGCAATGTTCCCCCATTCTTTATCTTTAGAATACTTTGTGAAGAATGAGTAAAGTATCAATACTTCTTTGTTTGGTAGAATTCAGCAGTGAAATCAGATGGGCCTAGGTTTTTTAATGTGTGTAGTTCTGTAACAAGTAATTCAGTGTCTTCACATCTTACAAGTTTAGTCAGATTACTCTTCATTGAGAGTCTTGGGAGTTTTTGTTTTTCAAATGAATCTATCCATTTCATTTAAGTCATTTAATTTATTGGGATCTAACTTCATAGTATTTCTTCTTACTCCTTTTCATTTTTGTAAGGTCATTAATAATGTCCCGTTTCAAATTTTTTCCCTTCACATTTTTTATTAGTGCATATTGGTTAAACAGATCAATGGATTTCATTTGGGCAGATTTATAAATGCATGCAACATACTTTCATCATCCCATTTCCCCCTCTGGCCCATCCTCCCTCCTAGTTTCACACAGGTGGGGATTTTGTTTCAGATTTGAATGTAAGGACTCTTCCCCTACCATCCACCCAATCTGTTGTTTTACCTTCTAAGGTTTCAGTAACCCAGGATCAGCCAAGGTCCAAACGTATTAAATAGAAAATTCTGGAAATAAATAATTCATAAGTTTTAAATCGCACACCATTTTAATTGTTTTTTTTCCATTTTAACTGTTGATGAAATCTCACACCACCCTACATCATCCTGTATGGAATGTGAATCATCCCTTTGTCCAGTGTATGTAACTATGGTATTTACTTGAAAATAAGATGAGCTCTTATATTAATTGTTGTTCCAAAAGACACAATAGGGCATATTTTCAGGGGATGTCTTACTTTTTCATGTACAACAATCTATGTTTATTCATGTACAAAAATTCTATTATTTATTCATGTATAACATTCTACATTTATTCAAATATAGTCAAGTCATCCCAGAACAATGTCATAGCTCTCCAAATTCTGAATTCTTGCCTGAATTTCTTGCAACTGCATTTCCTATAAAACCACTGACCCCAATCTCTCACTTCCAGCAATAGAGCTGTCCTTAAACGACCACTTCATTTCTATGTAGCCTCCTTGTAGTGCGCTGGTAACACAGCTGTCAGTGATTTTATCCTGTGAATTCCTCTCCTAAGTCATGACCTCTTGCAGGCTGGACTTCATAGAGTTTCCATTAAATCAAGTGTTATCTGAAGACTTAAAAAGATAGGAGTGGCAACAAAACTGATGAAAAGTTAAAAATGATAGTCCACATAAAAGTGATGAAAAATTCCAGGTGCCAAAATTCAGAAAATGTTTATTTCACATGAGTGCATTAAGTACGTCCATTACAACACAGGTTATATTGAATTGTGAACATTCACATTAGATACAACCACATTTACATGTTATCAGGTACGCATGTTGTTTGTGTTGTGTGTTGTGTCTGTACCTGACTTGTCATTTGGCAATTAATCTCAAGTTCACCTGTTTACATAGGCAGTTACCTCTTGTCCAAAGGGATCTGCTTGGGTATTTACAAATACTTAATTGTAATTTACATTATCATTTAAGATTCAATGTCAGTATTATTCAAAACTATAATCAGTATCAGTTATGGGTACTGCTGTAGAAATATTTAAGAAAACATTAGATAAAATTAAGTGCTACAACTTCATCAAGTGTATCAGATCCCAAGAATCAATGATCATTGAGGACTAGGAAATCCATTAACATAATTCACTGTATTTCATAGTTAAAAAGAGGAACAATGACTTCAATAACTGCCAAAGAGGCATTTAATAGAATTTAGCACATATTTGAGATTTTATTCTATTTTATTATTATTATTACAGTTTCTTCGGGTGAAAAGAGGGTATGATAAATGTCATGTTGAAGGCTTTCTCAAAACCACATAGGTACAATGTCAATTTTATAGCTTCTCGAAGAGGCAAAATTATAAACAATAAAAACCTCTCTGCTTCCTGGTCACCAGGCAGTGAGCAGCTTTCCTCTGCCATGGCTCTTTGTCCTACCATGGATCCTGCCTTGGACCTAGCCAACTACAAATTGAAATCTCTACAAACTGTGAGCAAAAATAAACCTTGCTTCCTTGGGGGGCGGGGGGAGCCTGGTGTGTTGGTTCACATCTGTAATCCAAGCACTCTGGTGGTTGAAGCAGGAGGATCACACAAATTTGAGGACAGCCTGAAATACAAAGCAAGACCAGGCCTGACTCAAAAAAAGGGGGGAAGAAAACCCCAAAATCAAACAAACAAAAAAACTCATCAAACAGTAAAAAGATTAGTGGT